GGGGAGAGAAAGAGAGAAACATCGATGTAATAGGTTGCCTCCCACACTTGCCCAGCAAGGGGTCGGGAGTGGACCTGCAACCCAGGTACGTGCCCTTGACCAGGAATAGAACCTGCAACCCTCTGGTGCACAGGCCAACACTCTAACCACTGAGCCATGCCAGCCAGGGCTTCTTCCATCTTTAAATGGTATATTCAAATCAGTGTAAGCAGTGGATGAATGGGCCCTCTCTGAAATGGAGGCCTTGAGTTCTTATCATTGATGTATGGCAAGGTCTGTGTATGGCATTAGCAACAAAGAACAATTTACCTGAATGTTGTTTTTTGTAAGCGTAGTCTAAATACAGAAAGAACAAGGTTGGATAAAGTGAAAGATGAAGACCTAAATGTATGTGAGTCTCCTCCTCCTGCTCCTGAGGCACCAACCACCTCTCTCCTGAATGACCTCAAGTACAGCCCGTCGGGTAAGCACTAGGCTCTCTTTATTGTGGTTCAGAACTCTGTTCAGAGTTGGTATAACCCTGAGTCAGGGCTCCATATGGAATGCTCAGCTAGGCCATTGCTTCTTGGTCCTGAATTAAGATAAAATATCATGATTCATTTGTTTATTTAATATTTGAGTGTACACTCTATCCAGTCATTATGTATACTGAGGGGTGGTATCTGTTACCTCACTGAGCTGTGGTGTAGGAAATAGACACTAAATAATTAAGATAAATGAGTATAATATATAGTATGCTAGTGCCAGCTGCTTTGGAGAGAAAAACAAAAGATAGAAGTCTCTGGAGAGGGTGGTTTAACAGTTTAGGTTGTCCAGGACAGGCCTTACCATATGGTGACATTTTCGTAATGGCCTGGAGAAGGTGAGGGATAGAGCTGAATAGATATCTGTGGAAATATTTTTTAGGTAGAAAAAAGAACAAATACAAAAGCCCTGAGATAGGAACATGTCAGAATCTTTACATAACAGCCACAGATCGGTGTAGGTGGAGCAAGGAGAGTAGTAGGACGTGAAGTGGGGCCAGTGAATCGTGGAGGAAGTTGTACATCACTGAAGGGGCTCTGACTGCGAAGTGAGAAGAGAAACCACTGGAGGATTTTTTGGATTTATCATTTCCCTAATGAGTAAGGATGTAGAGGATCTTTTCATGTGCTTATTTGCCATTGAATATCTTTGGTAAAATGTCTGTTCATATCTTTTGCTCATCTTATTAAAATATGTTCTTATTCAGTGTTTGGAGTTCTTTATATATTCTGGATACAGGTCTTTCTCAGACAAATGCTTTGCAAATGTTTTCTCTAACTCTGTGGTTTGGCTTTTCATTCTCTTAAAGTATCTCTTGAAAAGCAGACTTTTAAAATTTTGATGAACTACAATTTATCCATATTTGCTTTTATGGATTATGCTTTTGATGTTATGTCTAAGAAATTTTATCCTAACTCAAAGTTACAAAGATTTTCTCCATGTTTTCTTCTAGATGTTTCATAGTTTTAGGTTTACATTTAGGTCTATGACTCATTTTCAGTTAATTTTTGTATAAGATGTGAGTGTGGATCAAAGTTCTTTTTTTGCATATGAATAACCAGTTGTTCAGCACCATTTGTTGAAAAGACTATATATTCTCTATTCAATTACATTTGCACCTTTGTCCAAAATCCATTGTCCATAAGTGGGTAGGTTTATTTCTTTACACTGTTTTATTTCATTGATGTATTTTTCTATCTTTACACCAAAAATAGTTTTGTTTGTTGTTGATTTATGCTTGAAATCAGGTGGTGTTAGTTCTCAAACTTTGCTCTTTTTCAAAACTGTTTAGGCTATTTTATGTTCTTTGCATTTCCCTGTGAACTTTAGAATCAGCTTGCTAATTTCCACCAAAAAACCCTGCTGGAATTTTTATTGGGATTGCATTGAATTGACAGATTGGGGAATATTGGTATCTTAACAATACTGAGTTCATTGGTACCTTGGTTTTCGAATGTAATCGTTCTGGAAGACTGTTAGAGTTTTGAAACGTTCGAAAACTGAGGGATCAACAGTCAACAGCTAAGCCTCTGGATCTTGCTCTCAGCGGAAGCTGTGTGGCATGTTCGACTTCCGAGGTGTGTTCGGTGTGTTCGAAAATCGAAGCATTTATGTCTGGGTTTATGACGTTCATAAACCAAAATGTTCGTCAACGGAGACGTTTGAAAACCGAGGCACCACTATATTCCAATCCATAAACTTAGTATATCTTTCCATTTATTTAGATCTTTAATTTCTCAGCAATGTTTTGTAGTTCTCAGCATGTCTTACATATCTTTTGCCATATTTATCCCTAAGTATTTCATATTTTTATACTATCGTATACTATTTTAAAGCTTTTATTTCCCACTGGAGAGTTTTGAGCAGAAAAGTTACATGATCTGACTTCTGTTTTAACAAGATCTATCTAAATACTGTATAGAGAGATACTGAAAGGAGGACAAGGGTGAAAGCATGAATACCCATTAGGAGGCTGTTGAAATAAATTTTAGACAAGTGGGTGTGATGAAGCTTGCATCCTAGTGGTGGCAGTATGGTTGGTAAGAAGTAGAATTCTGGATGTATGTTGAGGTGGAGCAAACACCATGTACTGATAGATCAGATGTGGATGTGAGAGAGAGGAATCAAGGATGCCTTCAGGGGTTTGGGCCTGAGCACCCTGAAGTATGGAGTTGCTATTAAACTGAGATGGAAAAGACTATGAGTAGAAAAGGTTTGGGGGAGATAATTAGGAGTTTAGTTTCTGTCAACCTAAGTTTGAATGTAAGTCTAGTGATGAGGGGAAAGGTCTGAGATGTAGATACATATTCAAGAGTTAGCTATACATGATATTTAAAGCCTTGAGACTAGATGAGATAGGTCACCAAGAGAGTGAGTATGGATGGAAAAAAGAAAGAGGTACATGGACTGTGTCATGGGCCACCCCAAAGTTTCAAATGTTGGGAGATGATGAACTATATATTATACTATACCTATAATCTTTTAAGTTACATAATTAAAAAATAATTAATTTTCAGGACCCAGAGAATTCCAAACGTGTGGACATTGGCCCATCTCCAAGACTAATTTATTATAAACTATTATTTTTTGTTATGAACATGCTTTTAAAAAGTGTATGTCTTGAAGTATTTAAGATAAACCTATGATGAGGGAAAGATTACTGGATTATCACAAGAAATGACTAAATTGTCCAGTTCATAAGATTATCATTTGTTGGGCTTTTGTTTATTCTCAGTTGACAAAGAAGGTGCTAATAGTGTTCACTGTGTGATGGGCCAATGCAGATGATGACATTAGACACTTGAGTTGCAATAGAGTAGGAGTTTATTAATTTAGCTAAAATTAGTGGGAGGGCTATTCTGTTTCTAAGGAAGAAATATCTAATACCATCATTCCCTTGTAGAGGAAGAAGAGGTGACATACACAGTCATTGATCAGTTCCAGCAGAAGTTTGGTGCTGCAGTAAGTATTGCCTTCAATCATTCCCAGTATTGTCTACATATGGGGATCATGTCTATGTCTCAGAATTTTTCTCTTATAAGATCATTGATGTTTGCTCTAATAATTCAACAAAAATATTTGAGTGCCTGCTATATACCAGGCATTGTTCTGAGGTTGGGGTAAAACTCATCAATTTCCAGCCCTCAAGAACCTTACATTTTAGTGCAAGTGTTGTAGGCGGCAGAATGGCACTGGGTGTTAGGCCTGTGGTTCAGCAACACTGGACCTGGGTTCAGCAACCTTGGAACTTGGGTTCTGGCTAGGAAAGAATTCAGAGCCAAGACCCAAACTCTAAGAGAACATTTATTTGGTAAAATTACAGAGATGGAAGAAGTAGTTCCTAGAAGAAATGGGCTTAGGAAACAAGTTATAGAGAGTCAAAGAAAGGGCCTTTGGGAGTTGGGAGTGAGAAAGCTAGTGCTAATGTGCCTTGGGGGGTGGGGGTGGGGATGGAGAGAAGGAAAAGGGAAAAGGAAAGGCAAAGACAGGCGCAGGCTGCTCCTGGGTAGGTGAGCTCTGGGCCCTCCATCCTGATCGTTTTTGCCTTAGGGGAGGTCGGGGAAAGATCTCATTATAATATTTAGCAGTTTTCCAGGTGTGTCCTTTCAGAGTTGTGGTCTCCACTGATTGATTGGTTGACACCAAGGTGGGGGCCATCATTCAATGCAACTTCTTCTGAGGTCAGCCATGGCTAGTTGTGCTGCTTTTCTGGGCCTGGAGCTGAAATACAACTGAGGCCTAGATGTTTTCTCTAGGGAAGAAAGGTCAGGGAGTCCAGCCGCATGACCCTTGTTAGAGGAGGAAAGGCCACCCTTGGGGCAAGGTCCCACCCTACAGTTGTCCTTTTGAGGCACTCGGGGCTTTGCACCTGGTGACCTTCTGTACCTGGCCCAGTGTCCTTGCTCTGCTCACACAAGGAAATAAATAATTGTATATAACCTGGTGATAAGTTTTATGAAGAAAAATAAAGCATGATGTGGTGAATAGAGTGACAGGGAGTTCCTATTTTTAGACAGAGGAAACCTCTGTGAAGAGGTGACTTTGAAACACAGACCTGAAAGAAGGGAGCCAGAACTTAAAGAAGGGAGCCAGAAGGTCAAGAACTTAAAGTTTAATTAGCAAGTACAAAGGCTCTGAGATTGAGGCACATTTGGCTTGTAGGGTGTTCAGTGTGGCAAATCACAATGAAGAAGAGTGAGAGGAAATGAGAGGAAACAGGAAGTAGATCAGGTTGGGCTTTTTTCGACATTATGAGTTTGACTTGAGTAAGATGGACAGCCATTGGCACTTTTCTTTATTTTTTATTATTTTACATTTTCTTTATTTTATTTTATTATTATTATTTTTTAAATTCTCACCTGAGAATATTTTTTCCATTGCTTTTCAGAG